AGTATGATCATATAATTAATATAATTACTAATTAAATGATTATTTAATTGATTATGAGTATGATATTATGTTTTAAACATAGTAATTACTAATTTACTACTAAACATTAGCACAATACTTAATTAATGATAGAAATTTAATTAATTATAACATTACCTTATAACTTATTAAGCATTACTTATAGTTAAATAATTACTCAATTAAATTATAATATTATTATATTACATTATATTATGATCACTTACTTAATTATAGCATTACATAGTTAAATGTTTTTTACATATTAGTTATGATTTATAACATACATTATAACATTAGTATTTACTATATTATTACATTACTTAATTAAACGATTAAAAATTTAATTAATTATAATATTACCTTATATATTTATAATATGATTACTTAATCAATATAAATAGTCCATTATAAACATTAGTATATTAATCAAATATTTGAAATTTATTAATTAATAATTAAATTATAGATTTATATTATGATTACTTAATTCATTATAACATTACATTAACTATTATAGTATTATCATTAATTAATAACATTACATAATTAAATGATTACTTAATTGATTTGAGTTATGATATTATGTTTTAAACTAGTAATTACTAATTTACTACATAAACATTAACACACTATTAATTAAATGATAAGAAATTTAATTAATTATAACATTACTTATAAACATTAATTAAGCATTACATTATAGTTAATAATTACTATTAAATTATATATTATTATTCATTATATATTATGATCACTTACTTAATTTAGCATTACATAGTTAAATGATTACATAATTATATAATTAGTTATGAATTTATAACATTATTTATAACATTAGTAATTTACTAATTTACTATATTTTACATTACTTAATTAACGATTAAAAATTTATTAATTATAATTTACCTTATATATTTATAATATGATTACTTAATCAATATAACATTCCATTATAAACATTAGTATATAATCAAATGATTTGAAATTTAATTAATTATAATATTAATTATAGATTTATAGTATGATTACTTAATTCATTATAACATTACTTATACTATTATAGTATGATCAATATAATATAACATTACATAATTAAATAATTACTTAATTGATTATGAGTTATGATATTATGTTTTAAATATTAGTAATTACTAATTTACGTCATAAACATTAGCTCAATACTTAATTAAATGATAAGAAATTTAATTAATTATAACATTACCTTATAAACATTTCATATAAATATTAATTAATTATTCTTATAGTTAAATAATTACTCAATAAATTATAATTATTATATTCATTATATATTGATCTTACTTAATTATAGCATTATATAGTTAAATGATTACATAATTACTTAATTAGTTATGAATTATAACATTACTTATACATTAGTAATTTACTATACTATACATTACTTAATTAAACGATTAAAAATTAATTAATTATAGCATTACTTTATATTTTGTAATAGATTACTTAATCATTATATATTCCTTATAACATTATTATTAATTAATGATTTGAAATTTAATAATTATAATATTAAATTATAGATTTATAGTATGATTACTTAATTCATTATAACATTACATTATACTATTATAGTATAATCATATAATTAATATAACATTACATAATTAATATTACTTAATTGATTATGACATTATTTATAAACATTAGTAATTTACTAATTTACACAATACTTAATCAAATTTTTATACCTATATTATAAATTTATGGTATGATTATTTAATTAATTATAACATTCTATTATAAACAATATTACAATACTTAATTAAATGATTAACAATTCAAGTGTTGCTTAGAGATTACAGGTTATGAGTTACATTGGACACAAATGAATGAATAATGAAAATTTGTTAGGGGTACATTTGTAAACTTATAAGGTGTTTTTGTTATTTTTTAAACTAATAGGGGGGTAATTGATTTTTTATAGGGTACCCTGGAAAGGAACCGGAACCGGCATTTTGGGTTCCGGTTCCTTGAATTGAAGAACCTGTACTGTGCAGTTCCGATTCCGGTTCCTTTTTTTGGGAACCTGCACTGTGCGGTTCCGGTTCCGGTTCCCCCGAAAAATATAGGGTACCCAGAACCGCTCACCCCTAGTGAATGTAGCAGTGTCTGATCAAAACAATACAGAAACAGAAGGGACAAAGAAAAAATGAGAAAAATGAAATTAATGTTAATTGACTATCCTGCCCTTACTTATAACGGACTTTTGATTATTATGTCCTTCTTCCCAACGAAATTTACAAACGGAATTGTGCTTTGGGTAATAAGGGTCTGTTTGTTTCTCTATTTCTATCCTATCCAATCCAAAATACATATTTGTTTCATTATTCTTAAAATTCAATCATACTCTCTTTAACTATTTTAAACCCCATAAGTTTGTTACTTTAGCTAAACACCCCCCACAATAAAATATTAAAAATTAACAAAAACACCTTTACCCACCCATTAAATGCTAGCAACCGGCCACTCTCCAACGATGGTGGTCGACTGAAGGCATTTGATGGGTGTGTGAGGGTGATTTTGTTAATTTTTAATGTTTTATTGTAGAGGGTGTTTAGCTAAATTAACAAATCTAAAGAATATTTTTGTTAATTGTCAAATCATATCCTCTTGATAACAACTCAACTCAACTTTTTCAAAAATACTATTCAAAATAATAAAACAAACACAACCTTAAAATTGTGTTTTGAAACTTTTTGGGTAAGAAAGCGGCATTAGGCCATTATTTGGGTGGCAAAAGAAAAAAACTTTTACTTGCGGATTTTTATATCAAATCCCCACAATTGGTTTGGGCAACGGTGAGCTGGTACCAAAGCAAAGTGTGAATGTTACGTAAATAGGTAAATAATTTTTAGCCCCCATCAATTTTATTAATAACTCCCATCTTTGATTTTAATGAGGGTAAAAGTGTAATTTTATTTTATATGTAATAAAAAGTTAATTTAATCTTTTAAAACCATGTTATACTTTTAATTTAAAGGTGTCTTAAAAAAAACACAAGGAATCCAAACGAATCTAAGTTTCCCACAATTAATAGAAGTAAAATATAATAAAGAGAATATTTATTTCAGTTATGTTATTCTATTTCAAATAAATAGAGTAAGTTGTATTAAATATATTAATTCTCTAAAAGAAAATAACTATGTTTATGAAGATCTTAATGAATTGAAGGGAAAGAAAAATAAATAGTAACTATGTTTATGCAAAAAAAAGAAATTTACTGAGCAGCCCCACCAACTTGATCGGTAGCCCCCATCTTTTATTTTATTGAGGTTAGAAGAGTAATCTTATTTTATATTTAAGTAAACATTAATTCTATATTTTGAATCCATCTTATATTATTCAATTCTTAAAAGAAAACATGAAGAATCCTAACAAATTGAAAAATCTATCAATTCAATAATTAATTAAAGATGATGCGTATAATATAAATAAAGAGTAATGCTACAGTCACCGAGAGTAGTGCACCGAATGACATGACAAAATCCTAACCATCGATTAGTATTAAGTTATAATTAATCTACGGTCAGGATTTCGCCACATCATTCAGTGCACTACTCCTGGTGTCTCTATTATTTTTCATAAATAAAATATAACAAACGGAAGATTTATTTTAGTTATGTTCTTCTATTTTAATTAAATAGGTTGTGTCAGATATATTTATCATCTATGGGAAAAAAATAACTTATTTTTAATTCTTTAAAAGATTGCAAATGACGACTCATAACTAAAAGTTTCTCAGATTATTCTTGAAAATAGGATAAAAAAAAGTTTGATTGCATCGATCGAAAAAGAAAAAATTAAAAAAAAAAAAAAAAAAAGTGATTTGTAGGCAACAAAAAAGTGGAGAGGATGCTATTATAATAAGCTTTGAGGAAAAAAAAAACCATAATATGATTTATTAATCTTAAACAATAGATATGTTCATTAGAAGGAAAATGGGAAAGAAGAATGTTGGATATTACTACATTAGAGATCTTAATGCATTGAAGTGAAAGACAAAAATAGTAATTTTTTTTTTTTTTTTTAATGCAAAAGTGAGAATTTTGTTAGTACACCCACCCTTTGATTAAGTACCATTTATTATTACATTTTATTACAAATTTACCCTTTAAATGGGGGCAATTGATCAAATTCGGAGGGTTCAAAGATCACTGCCCAATGAAAATTTACAGGCAATAATATTGAAGAATCAAAGTTCAACTGGATTTCGCTCACTTTTCGGCAATGTTTGGGCTCCCCAGTTACCAGCACCTGATCTACCTCCCCTCATGTTTGATCGTTATTTCGTCGTATTAATTTGAGGATGTAATTTGGTGGAAATACTAGGTTAATAATATCTTAAAAATTTTGTATATAAGATTAAAATAGCTCATGAATATTCGTTGCAATTGTTTTCAAAACAAGAGTATTATTGTTCAAAATATTTAATAATTAGAGGTAAATTATAATAAAATTAAAATTACCAGATAATCTTAGAATACTTAAAAAATAGAGAGTATTAATATTACTACCTATATAACCTACAATAGTTATTATTAGTATTTGAGGATTACCAAATTTTTTTATTATTTAACAATTAAATATAATAATGTCAGTAATATAAGATAACATTATTGGAATAATGGAAGATTACGCCCAACCAAATACACCATAAAAGTAATCATCAACTAGTTTTATACATGTACTTTTAAATTAATCAACGTAAAATGAATTACACGAGATTGTGAGATAATTAACCATATTAGTTTTCAAAACTCTAAGTTTAATTTGTATAATAAGTAGAGATACAATTTGTTAGACTTTAAGAGTAGTCATCATAGATGTTTTGATGGGATTAAAATATCATATCATCTATCTATTTACTATTAATCTATTTAATTAAAAATTACATAACTTTCTCAAGCTCATTAAAGTCTCATAATTAATAATTCATTTCATTACATTACATTAGATTATTTTCATTAATGATGCATCAATTCAAAGTATCAACTTGTATTTAATTTGTTTGCTTTTAATTGCTTCTCCATAACCATCTTCTTCACTTGCTTCCCTTGTTCCTCAATCAACTGCTGTAAATCTCTTTGAATCTGTCTTAAGAAAAGTGATCAATTATAATTTCGTAAAGAATACTAAAAAATAAATAAAATAAAAAAATCTTCAATATTTATGCATCATGTACTAAATAAATATTATTTTATAATAACTATCGACCTAATAGAATTTTGTTACTTTAATATATGAATAATATGATACACTTGATATATAAAATGAAAAGCCAAACACTAAATAGCCATAAAAGGGAAAACATTATTTAAAAATAATATTAGTAAAAAAATCCATACATTTTCAATGCTTAGAAATTCAATAAAAGATTAACAAAAAAAAATAGATTCTTATGTATTTAAGTTTAAAAAAAAAAAAAATCCAATGCCTATTAATACGTTAGAAATTTGATAAATAAATAAATAAGAAGGGTTCATTAAGAGAAGCCATACCTCTAACTGTTGATGAAGCTGCTTCTGTATATTCATCTGCAGTTGCAATGCCTCCCTGATTTGCTTGCCACTGAGATGTAAATTTAATTCCACAATTAAATACATAAATAATTTTTTTATTGAAATCATATCTATTATATCAAGAATTTTTACTTACGTTTTACTGTAAAGTTGTGGTATATCACTAATACAATCTCCTTCTTCGATACTTCTTTCTGCATTAATGTAGATTTGAAGCAATATTGTGTTATTAGATTAATACATTTAAATGGTTAAAAATATGTTCGGTTCAATAATCTAAATAATGTTCGAAACAATTATAGTAAAAATTATGGAAAAGAAATTACCTTGTGCAGAATTTGACATGCAGTTTTCTGATCGATATTTCTGAAGACAACAAAGAAATTAAAAGAACTAACTATGAAGCTAGTTAATTAATGAATTAATTAATACCTGGAGATGACTTTTGATATTAGTGATGGTGAATTCACTTGGTTTCTTCATCAGTTTGAATATTGCCTTTGGTGTTGCCTCTATATATATGATCAATTAATTTAATGAAAAAAAAATGCCATTAAAAAATTAAAATTAAATTAAGGAGCAAGGCTCATTAATTTTCAATTAATTAGAACTCACTATCAGCCCCTCCAAGGTGATAAACACACTGCAAAAACTCTTCGTGGAGATCCTGAGTCCATCTTATTCGTTTCTTACTTGAAGCAATTGAAACAAACTCAGAAGACTGCATTTCTTGCGGACGAAATAAGCTTTCCTGAGATCGTAAAGATTATTATGAAAGATAAATTACAATCCGTATATTTATCACTCACTTAAAATTTGAGTTTCATTTTCAGCTACAACAGGAATTAACTGTTGTTTACGAGAATTTTTTTTTAAAAAAAAAAAAAATGTACATTCTGAAGTTTTTAACGTGCAGATTAAAGGCAGCGTAATAAAATGCAAGAATTATGAATATAAGCTAGCTATTAGTCGATTTGAGCGAAAAAAACTTTGTTCTGGCACAGGGTTCAAAGATTTGAACTTACTTTGATCATATTTTGGCTGCTATCAGGAGTATAAGGAAGGCCAGTTCCAGGAAAATTGCGGGAAAAGTTCCCAGAAAATAAGTGAGGCTTCACCACAGATTCCAAGGTGTCTTGCTCTGTAAAGTTTCCAGAAAAATTCTCTCCTGAAGTAGCAGGAGTTTCTCCAAGTTGCTGACCATATTGTTGTTGAAAATTGATGTCGCTTTGATCATTGTTTAGATAAATAACAGTAGCCAAATCCTGCAAAGGCTTCAGGTTTTGTTGATGTTGTTGTGATCCTCCTCCTTCTTGCTCCATGGCTTGTGTTTGAGTAATGTAAATTTCCGTGCTCAAGAGTTGGATAGCTTTCTGTGTGTGTTGGTTGTGAAGACAAAACCTCTTTTCATTTCCTCAAGAGTTTTATTTGTAAAAAATAATAATAATAAAAATAAATAAATAAATATCCTCATTCTGGTAACATTAATTATATATATATATATAAGACCACAGTAAAAATATGAATATATAATAAACCCATACGGGTCGGGGCCATACTTGTACTAATTTTAATGCAATGGTGTTGTAGTACATAAAATAGTACAAGTACTCAATAAATATGACTTTCAATTTTGTAAAATATTTGTACTATCCCCACTATTATATCCACTTAGTTTTTATGGATGATTTCTGCATCAAAAGATTTATATTCTGATGAGAATTTTGTCAGGTGGAAAGAGATTCATATTCTGATAGTGGTGTTTCATGAATCCGATTATCCAATTCTATAGTAAATTAACATTGGGATTCCTCTCATGGGGCCTTGAGAAAAATAAAAATCGGAAAGAATGTCAACATTTTTATATGGGTTAGAAATCATGACGACATAATTTGAACATTATAGTACTTTCATCTTTATTGTGACAAATTTTGGTGTTGAATGACATGTGATTTTATGTTGTTTATAATGTTTCCAGATCGATAATTATTATCATTTGAGTTGAAATCCTAAATAAAATATAGTTTTAGAGTTTTAATTCAACGTTTATTGTCGTTCTGATCCTATATTGGATAGAAATGAGTAAGGTTTCGACCGATAAGTAAGCAGCATCACCTAAGATACTAGTCTTTTTGATAATTAACAATCTTCTAAACAAAAAGAAAACTGTTATAGTTTGTTGGATTATAAAAAAAGAAAATAAAATAAGAGTAATACTGTCTTTACGTCATCCTTTACATCATTTTCATTACATAATAACCATTTTACTAATAATAATTCTATTATAATATTTTTAATTAAAAATAATTAGTAAAGTAATCATGATGTAATAAAAAATGTGTAAAAGGTAGTATAAAATTGGCATTAATCATGAAATAAAATTGTTGAGATGAGTCAACCCAAGGATAGTCCACTTTCATGAATTTAGGCTCTCTAGCCCAATAGTTAGACAAGGGACTGGAGCTACATTTAGATGGTTCATCCCAAGGCTAGTCCACTTTCAAGTAATTGGGCTCCATAGCCCAATAGTTCCTTTGAAGACCCTCAAGGCCTCAACCATGAACAAAATTTAATAATTAAAAAATAGAGTTAATCCGTCTGATAACATTATAATATATCAACTCCAAAGTTTCAAAGTGTAAAATGTATTTACTTCTTTTGGAAAAACTCATAACTACAAAGGAAAAAATTATAATTTCTTTACTTCGAGTATGCAATAGACTTTGATTTTTTATTATTTCACAGAGAGTGTAACATTTCTAGAAATTCTATTCCATATCTAATTCTGTAGGAAAAATGTCGAATTATTTGTGATTTATGACCTAATTAATCTTAGATGGGAAATGCATATTTCCTGAATTTTCTGCAATCGAAGCCTCAACATCTTCAAGGCTAAATAATGGATCTTCTTCAAGTGTAATATCCAAGTTTTGAGTTGTCTTCAAGTTGCCCTTATTTGTTTTCTGTTGTTGGTCAAATAGCTTCTTAAGTTGCTTCCCTTGTTCTTCAATTCTCAATTGCAAATCTCTCTGAATCTAAACATGAAAAACAATTTAAACTCATAAGAATCAAAAAGTCAATAAGACGGTGTAAGGTAACAAGTAAAAATCAAACATTATTATTTGTGAAGTTTGGTAAATATTATCTCCGCCCATGAATCTACTTTAAGCTAATAGAAAAGAATCGAACAATAGTCTCTAATAAGTCGCTCACATGCATAAATCAAAAGGTCACTAAGACAAAGTTTAAAAGCTTAACCTAATAGTATTTGCACAGTTTGATAGATATATTTATTATCTCAGCCTTTAAATCTACTTTAAACTAATAAGTAAGAACGGAACATTAGTATTTAAGTTATATATGTAACAAGACCCCCACTGGCATCCATAAGAAAGCTATTGAGACAAAGTTAAAAAGCTTAAGCTGGTAAGTAAGAATGGACGTAATTGTGATAAAGAATAGTTCATGGAAATACCTCTAACTGTTCATGGAGACGCATCTGGACATCTAACTGAAGTTGCAAAGCCTCTTTGATCTGCAAGGCGCTGCCAAGAGAGAGTTGACAAGTTGTTTAAAGAATAAGAGGTTTTATGTGAGCAAATAGAGTGAATAGGGGATTCAATTTTCTTTTCAGTAATTTAATTAAGAGCAATGTGCCATGCAGAATTTACGTTTTGACATCAAGTTGAGACACATCATTCAGAATACACCTTTTCTCTGATTTTCCTGCAATAGAAAATGGTATTTACAAATCAAAGCCAAGCTGAAGAGTCATTAATTCTCAAATCATATCTTAATAGAACATTGAAGTATAATGTTAAATTGTAATATGAATTAATCTCTCTAGTTCCCTTAAATAAACAAACTAGATGTAAAGGCAAATGACATATATCGATTGAAAGATGTCAAAGGTCTAATTATCCAACCTGAAAAAGGGCAATCCAACACAAAAGACTAGTCTATTAGCAAGGGCAATCGGAAATCAAACTAAGAAATCGTGTTTGGAGTCAAAGAACAATAAGTATATTTCAAATTTTAAAATTGTATGTACTTATAAATCAATTTTATAAATTTTGTGGAATTTGAGATGGTTACAGCCATCCGAAGAGGTTTGTGATCACTCCAATTTAGAAGTTCCAAAGTATTTAACCCAAAAGACTAACATATTAGAAAAATATCCAATACAAGAACTTGTGATAATCTGAATCCATCACACATAGGCATAGTATCTAATGACAATTCAATTTTGTTTTTTTTTTTTTTTTTAACTTCTTTTGAAGCTAAAAAAATGTCAACCAAAACAAAACTATAAATTAACAACGGACATCTCAACATTAGTAAACAACAAAACCCTTCAAAAAAAACAAAATTCTAATCAAAATCTACCTTCTACAAACTCTGGTATGTATTTGGCCATCCGATATTTCTACAAATCATAAGGAAAAAAAATTCAAATTAAATCCAATCAAGATATAAAGAATCTTCAAATTTCTAAAAACACAATATCAATACCTGCAAATGGCTTTTGACATGAAAGATTGTCAACCCTTCAGAATCCATCAGCTTCAGAATCGCCTTCGGAGTGGCCTCTACAATGAATTCAATCAATCCAATTAGTAAACAGACAGATAAAGTTGTCGCGTAAAAGAGCTTGAATCAATCAATACTAACTCTCTGCACCGCCAAGGCGATTCACACACTCAACAAACTTCTCATGTAGATCCTGAGTCCATCGAATTCGAGTTTTGCTCGAAAGTACCGCCCCCGATGAAACCGAACCTCCGGAGGAAACCGAAACACCTCCAAAAGAATACCTTGGAGACTGCTTCTCCTGATGAGAAGTATAGTTCATCTGGAAAAAAAAAAAAAAAATATTAGCCGTAATCGAAGCTAGTCTATTGATGAATCAATCAAATTCTTGAAAGGAGAATAATAATTTACTCTTTGATCTTGAATCTTAACCGCTTCACCTCCAAACATCTTGATTTGTTTAGGAGAAGAAAACTTGCTGCCAAGAATCTCATTGCTGTGAACTAGATTTCCACAATACTTCTGAGATTTCAGCGTTGATTGCAAGGCGTTCCGGAGTTCGATATTTTCTCCAGGTTCCTGAGATGAAACAACTCCAGAAAAGTTTTCCCCGGAAGATTGATATGAAGGAAAGTCTGAGTCACAAACAGGATTGTTTCCTGGCTGAGAATCAAACTGAGGAAACCCCATGAACCGATCGGTTGCATAAAAAGCTGAAGCCGGAGACTCGAACCGGCCGAGGATGGCACTGGAAGATCTTGCAGGGCTGAGGTTTTGCTGCTCGGAAGCTCCATCCAGGGCCTGCCCGTGATTGATTCTGAGGTTCCAGGACGGTTGAGAAGCAAAATAGGAGGTGGAATAATTGGCGAATTCAATGTTGCAGTCATTACTCATCGCTTGTTTCTGACGAAATCGGTCCTGGAAATTGATATTCTGAGAGTTCATTTACAGAATGGAAGAAAAACTTCAATCTCTGAAAATGGAAACTACAGGAATTGGGCTGTGTTAGCATCAGAAAGTGAAGCTAAATTCATTCCATTATTGAGTATTTAAAAGCGAAGAGAAGCTACGCAACAGACACGCAAAATCTGAAAAGAGAGATGCAAGATTAGATTGATGAACGAACTAAAGAGTTGAATTCAAATTTATGCCATAAGATTCTCTCTTTATATTCTGTGAGACTTCTGGGGCAAGATTATGAATATAAATGTGTGAACAATTTATATAATATATATATTATATTATATAGGATGGAAATGAACATTGATTTGTGACATAACCAAAGCACAAAACATTTTATATAAAAAAAAAAAAAAAAAAAAAAACACATATCATAGCTCTTCAAGATAAAGAAATAGTTTAATGTTGTATTATTGTTGTTATTTTAAACTTTTAGGTAGGTGTTTAAGAAGGGTATAAGATCATAACTTCAGTATTCCGAATGTTGTATTACTGCACTTTTAACTTTAGATTAGATGGTTCCAGACAAAGACATAAATTCTGATTTTAGTGTTTGATCGACGTTAGACTTATAACATTATCTAATAGTTAAAACTTTTAGATTAATTTTTTGAGGAAATATGGAATCTCGAATTTGGGGTGTATTATATGAACCTTCTTTTATTCTATGAGAGATTATATTTTGAAATTTTAGGAGGTTTCTGACGATTTCGAGAGATATTAAGTCTATTTTAAGAAAGATTTATAACTATTAATGGTAATTATAGAGATTTTATAGAATCTCAAAGTTATAATATTAAATATTTATAATATATAAAGTAATGACTTAGTTTAGATAATATTAGGTCTCATTAAAAAGATAGAATATTGTATTTGGCATATCAAAAGAGGTAAGGATAAATTCACTGAGCAGATCTTCAATTATTCCTAAGAAATCACTTAGCCACACCAAAAAATTTTAAAATAAAACAATTTTGTTTTATCATTTTTTCCTCAATAGAAAGAGAAATTCTCTCCCTCCAAACATATTGCATCTTTAATTAAAGTGGATACCAGAAATCACCAGAAAAAGTTCTTGTAGTTTAATATTATTTTTTATTAATTCTAAATTAAGTGGACATGCAACCAAAGATTCTGAAATGTGTCAAAAGACCATGAAAATAATATTATTTACGACTTATTTGGTCATTATTGTTATTTCTCATATTCTTTAAATATTCAAATAAAATAAAATAAAAAAAAATCAATAGGAAAGAGTCATAAATAAAATGGATATATTCATTAATTCACGTTTCCAGTGTTTGTATATATTTAAATTGTAGATTTCATTCGATAATGTCAGTAAAGAGTTTACCATCGACATCTGTATTATAAAATAAAAACTTAGATAAAAATTTTGTATTAGAAAACTATGAAAATTAATTTTTTAGTTATTTTATAATTCTAATTGACGAAAATCTAAATGGAAAAAAAATTATGACATAAAAATTCATCGTCATCATTTTAAGTTTTAATTATATTTTGATAAAATATCTTGATAAAGAAAATATATATATTATCAATGTAAGAATCACCTCACCATTATCAATTCAAGAATATGACATGCATTATAGTTAAATTTAAACAGCTCATGTTAATTAATTAATTAATTTTAAATCATTTAAATTAAAAAAAAAAAACTTTGAAAGAATCTAAGAATTCAATATTTCGTCTCAGGGATAGTTTATCCAGAAGATGAAAAATGACAACAACTTCCAGAGAACTAATTCCCCTGGCAATAACTAATTAAAATATATTAAAAAATTATAAAAGAATTCAGAAAAATATTATTAAATTTAGCTAGAAGTTGACCACAAGAAACAAACAAAATTACAAAGCAAAACAAGATAAAAATGGCTTATCTGGCATTTCTATTATAGTAGTAATTAATTTTAAAGCTGAAGAGGATAAAATTATTAATATTTTCTTGAGAATCTCATAATTTATTATTATTTTGAATAATGTTACGCTTACAAAGAAATCTTACAAAAATCTTATTCATTTTTTGTCACATCACTTTGTATGAAAATCTTTGTAAGATTTCTTTGTAAGCATAGTATTATTGTATTATTTTTGTCATTAACAATAAAATTTGTTATTATTTTTTTCATTAATTTAATACAAATATATAGTTTTTTTTTAAATGTTTTGTTTGTCCACAATATCATGTTTCAAAAGAATTATTTGAACCAGATGCAACAGTAATTAGCTTAAAGGAGTCAAAGCTCAATTTCTTAATTAAATTTCAGCCCCTTGAGGATGACAAATATTAGTTTCAAAATACAATGTAATAGTATATTAACGTTATCGATTTAGTATAGTCTTTATATTATGATGTTTTTATCATCTAAATACCAACAAGTTAATGTATTTGATTTTGTATTTTGTGAAGTCAAAAACTAATTGTTAATCTTCTTCTTTTTCCCTGTTAAAAATTTCAAGACATCGACACTAAAAATTAACTGAATCCAGATAAAAAAATAACCTACAATAAAATTATGATTCTTTAGTTTCATGGAATGACCCTTTTGGTTTATGTTCTTGTTTTTCATTTATTTAAAATTTGTTGTGTATATATATATGTATGTAGTGATTGATGGAGACAAAAATGAAATGGGGAACAAAGCTCAAGCAAGTTGGGAGTTGGGAACCCTGTTCCATTTATTAATCAAATTAAAATTCAAAGGTATAAAATTAAAGCATGAACACTTTTTGTTGATTTTTTATAAATATGGTAGGCAGCATATGTCGAGGTATAATTGTTCTATCCGATTGCTACTCTTCTGGTATAAAGCTCAAAAATTCTTCATGATTCCACAGTATTGTACATAACGTATTCTTAACACAATTTTTGGGAAAATTTTGCTCACCATCCAAGGTCTACTACTTACATTGAAAGAATTTTCTTAAAAGTGTACTCGAATATAGTAATTATCTGGTACCGATATCCTAATTTTTTTAATTCCAAACCTATTTTCATGTTGGCAGTTTTGCCCTTACAAGAAAAAAAATTAGATTCCTGTGAAAAAATTTGGGAGACAGTTTATCTCTTAGTGGAAAACAGATGTTAAGAATGTTGTACGTCCATATTTCTAAAAAATCATATGTTCGTACTGGAGAATTTTCATTCATTTGTCGTATTATGAATAAAAATTCTCCAGTACAGGTTTTAGGAAAATTTTGCTACTATGCAAGGGCTATACACTTACAAGAGATCGTACCAGTTAAACTCGCGGATACTCTTATAACTTTACCTTAAATTTTATGCCTTTTTTTTGGTATTTGATTCTTAATTTTTGGCCTCGACCAATTTGGATTTTACTACTTTGTTCAAAACTCTAAAATTGGGTTGCCGAATTTGCATATTGCTGAAGCACAAAAATTCACACTTTGCCCAGTTGGAATAATGTTACAGCTTTTGAATTTATGATAAGGAAATAATTTAGAAGATAACAAGATACTTCAATTAGAGCCTGCTGTCCACAAGAAGACATAGAATTTTGGCAAAATCAAAATAATTTATAATAGACAATTGCATGAGAAGACTTGATTCTTATGTCTTTTATGATAATGAAAAATTTGTTTATTTATTTGTTGAAATTGGTGGGTGGTCCAATCTGTATCCTCTTAATCTTTAAATTATTATTTTACAACAAAATTAAATTAAATCTCATAGTATATCATATGCAATTCTTTTAGAAGAAAGAGAGAAAGAATCTTTGCGTTTATAGAAGAGCTTAAAGTTCTTATTTTTTATGATATTCAAATTAAAAATTATTATACATAGATTTATGTAAAAAAAATAAAATAAAAAAATAACATTCAGAATTAATTTTTTTAAAAAGCTATTTTTCTTATAAAATTAAAATATTGTCTTTTTTTAATTAAAAAATATGTAATTTCTCAATTAAATTAATTTTCCTTGGTGGCTATAGAAAGGATGTGCATGGCAATGAAACGGGGACATAATATTAAATAATATAATTAACTTTTAACAAATTAATTCGAGATAATTAGGGTTATTGTCATACACAGTAGTTTATATATATATATTGAATCTCATTGATAGGAGGTTTAAGGATTATGATGAGAATAAAAATATTGACTTTCTTAATCAAAACATATATTTTAATAGAGAGTCGTAATTATTTAATTAATTGTTTTGTTAATTAAATACCATTCTCCGCATCTCTTTTCATCCCAGTACCTAACCCTAATTTACAACTGGCAACATTGTAATTTTCACGAATAAACTAAAAAAAATAAATTATTTTTTTGGTTCATCTTAGTTGGTCCCTAGCATAGAAATTGACCCTTAATGATTTGGAGGGACATTTCAATTTTGGCTTTATTTCATTGTACAACAAAAAGGGTTCTCGTAATGTTACAAGCACGATACTGAATCCAATATCCAATGGCTCACTTTGAATACTGATATTTTTTATTGACGCTAGCACCATAATTGTTTTTTTATAAGAAAATGAGTTAAATGACGATGATTATCAAGTTTGTATAATGTAAAATCTGAATATATTTATTGAAATGATATAATATTAAACATTATAGTAGTTATAATATGAAATATTACATTTGAAAGCTCAAAAATCACATTGTCAGATTGAAAATTGAATTTCGCCTTGGATCAAAAGGGTATATTTAATTTAATTGGTTCTAAGAGGTAAATTAACAAAAGGGTATTAAATAATTGCTCAAAAATAAATGAATGATTATTTCATGAAATATAACCTAGTTATAAATTCCTGAAAATTTTAAAAAAAAAAGAAAAAAAAAAAAAAAAAAGGAGAAGACAGAATGATAAAAGTAATTAGGGAACTTAAAAATAAAAAAAAAAAAAGTGTAAGGGTAAACGAGATGCCATTACATTGGATAAGGAACACAAATGTGCCCACTAAATCAAACATTATCTTGATTTGACTTGATGGGTTTTTTTTTTTTTTTTTGGTTAAATTTCCATGGTTCATGGAAGAAAAATTATACTGAGAAAGGAATATTAAATTATTTATTCTTATTATTGTTCATAATTTGATTTAATAATTGAAGAAGAGTACAATAATCACTTTATGCAAAAATATACATCTTATCAACACCGCAAACAAGCACTCAAAAACAAAATATTAACGGTCAAAACTCAAATCA